AAAAAAAAAAAAAAAAAAAAAAACAGTGGACATACGAGAGCAAAAAATGGAAAGATGGCGTGAGTAAGTTAGTGTACTATTTGCATGCCATTTCAAGCAGATCTACACCGACTTCTGAGAACTCCAAAAACACTGGAATGGAAAACAGAAAGGTATTGACTCTGTGTCCATTGACATTAACCAATTCCATACACAGCCGGTAGTCACCTCTACCATTTGCACATCGGAACGACGACATGGTCCTCTCTCTCTCTCTCTCTCTCTCTCTCTCTCTCTCTCTCTCTCTCTCTCTCTCTCTCTCTCTCTCACCTCCTCCGTTCACGGAATACGCTCTGGAGGACATCACGCAGACGGCGGGGCGGACGACCGCCCCGCGGAAAAATCAACAGGCTGCCAATTCGACTCGTCCCAGAAAGAAGCAGGGAGGCTGAGAAGCTCGTTACTAATCTGAAGATGTGCGATCTCTTTCTCCATCATTTTCATCCTGCCACTGAGTTCCTCGCAACATGAACATGTGGCCCCATGTCCACCCTCTGTTGCTGATGAGGTGCCTGCAGCTTTTCCCTTTCCACCGACGCGAAGAGCTTCGAATTCGTCACACAAATCGTTGTCACCAACAGTCCCCACCGCCACTCCACGCACAATGTCATCGTAGAACCTCCAAGCGGTTTCAGCCTGCTGACGTGCCACTTGCACGTCCGCTTCGGCCGCCTCGCACCTCGACCGAGCTTCGTCCCTGTCTCGAACTGCAGCATGCAAGGCTCGGGTAGTGTCCCGTACTTCCACTCGGCTCTCCTCCCACATTCGTCTCCACTTGTCGTTATCTCGTCAGATCTGGAGGTTGTGGATGACAAGTTCGTCGCAGCAATGTCGCAGACTATCCCTTGAACCACGAAGTCTCTTGAGAACGGAACTTGCCCATCTCCGAGCGTGAATGTTCTCGAGGGACATCTCACTTTCACAAACAGATCTACCGCAACACATCGTGACTGTGATGCTATCACCCCTYTCCACTAAGTACTTGTGGACTCGTTCAACCTCCCTCTCCATCTTCTCCATTTCATTCAGCACCGCACGCCTCTCCCTCACGAAGTCCCTCCCCGCCATTGGTCCATCGTAAGGAACTCAACCGAACCCAACGATCTGTTGCAGCACAACAATGATGAAAGCAATGGACAGCAAGTGAGCAGCCCTTCGGCGGTAAAACGTCTGTAGTGACACCAAAATGAACGTCAGTACCCGTGCGGCAATGGTCTGCTCACGAGGCCCATTTCACTGCTCCCTCCGAAGCTCATACAAGCGGATCACTTCTGCACACAGTGCATCTCTCACGGCCTGCCCGCGTTCGCGACCGAACATGAATTCAAACGTTAGTCCCATACTTCCTTGTCCACCACGGGGAGGAGGTGTGTCAGGGGAAGACGCATCAGAGAACTCCAAGTCCTCTTGCGGCATGTCTCCCCATTCCTGAAATAGATTGTGGAGAATACAACAGGCTTCGAATTCCAAACCCTCCCTCCTTATATTGGTCACATGCGGACGATGGAAGAACTGGAACCGCATCTTGAAAACTCCAAAAAAACGCTCCATGCAAGATCTCACTATCTTGTGGAGTGCATCGAACTGTTGCATGGCAGTTGTGAAATTCGGTTGCTGGCGGTAAGGAGTGATGATCCATGGTAGACTGGGATACCCGCCATCGGCGAGCAAGTACCCGCCAGGGACACCTGCAATTGCCGGCCTCTCAGCAACGAAAGGATCAGCGGGGTCGTCCAAGAACAGTTCACCTTGCAGACCGCGCCTGTACAGTGACGTCGACTTCAACGCGCGTCCATCACCAACAGTCCCTGGGAATCCATAGCAGAAGTCCAGRATCTTCAGTTCCGAGTCCACCACYAACTGTGCTACAATGGAGAACCTGTTGAATCTTCCCGAACAATAGTCATCCCCATCCCTCGTGCGCGGCTTGTCCATATAAACATGGGTGCAGTCTATGCACCCCCAACAGTTCGGGAAGCCCTCCGCGTCAAACAACTRCATTCTACGATGACRCTCCRSAAAACCCCCAAACCCGACCTTGTTCSRGTAACACGTRATAATGGCCTCAGCCACCTCTCTGATGGCTCGGAGTCCACTGGTTTTKCCCATACYRTAGCCGGAACAAGTATGCCAATGCGAGTCACCGTGCGCCCACCTGTGGAGAGCGTACGCCAATTTCTTCGCAGGATCCAAAGGGACCCTGAACTTTGTCACCTCCTTCTCCAAGAGGGGACCGACCTTCCGGAAAAGACGGTTGAATGATGACCGCCGCATGCGTAAGAGACCCAAGTAGTGGTCATCCTCCGCATCATCACACGGAAGGAGATCCTTCCACAGCCCACCTGTTCGCCGCATGACCCACCACCTAGGCGAAGCACGGGGCAACAGCTTGCAGACATCAACAATAGTGGGCCACAGCCAAAGCAAAGACCGTCCCCCACGRCTATCATCATCTGCATCATCGTTGCCCAAGAGGAGGCCTTCGTTGSCGCTCTTGAGCAAACCCTGGAGACTCAGCGTCCTCTTATGGCATATGCGGTCCACAATGTCAAAAGCATCCTCTGCCATCCTCCCTGCCATAGCCATGACTACGACTGCGAGTTGTTCCCGATCCCTTATTCTCAACGCCGGCATGGTTTGATGAAGAACGTTTCATGCTAAGGTAGTGGAAGGGCAATGCACAGACGTCGGCTCTGTCGAACCGGGTGAGATTGAAAATGAAGAGGACGTTCACATGTGAAGGGGGTTAAAGGCCGAAGTTGTAGTGGGGGCGGGTGTTGGTTGGTGGTTGGTGGTGTATAGTGAGCTGAAAAAAAAAACAGGCCGACGAAGCGGAGGGAACCGTTGTCGGCGCGAATACCCTTACAACTTACAAGGGTATCCGCCCTGGTTTTTGCAAGTGACAGGAAATAAGTCTTGTTCAAAATTTGAGTACACCGCGCGAGTCGCGGCTATGTCTTGTTCGCGCTGACTAAAGGGTTGACTAGGAGCAGAGTGTGTGTGGCCGCGCAGTTTTGAGGCGCGCGTGATGATTTTTTTCTCTTGATGCTATAGAGTCGGCATGTCCACCGACAACATTTTTGGCTTTGATTAAAGCTAGGAAAAGTTTTCTTTTATTGAATTGATCATGGTGCACCTGCGTTCATATGGCATGCGTCATCGGAAGTGGTGTTGCTTTCGGCAGTGATTGGAGCATGCGAGAGAAAATTGAACATGAGCAGGGACCTCCGTGCGGTGGACGCGGGAGGTTGACAGTCGTAGACGGAGTCAGGCCCTATGAGCAGCGGGCGTCATAGGTCGGCAGCCGTGAGTTTGGTCCGTAGGCAAAGGGGTAGCCCTGGGGTGTTTTGGTAGGCCCGCGTGTCGTGCGGCAACAGTTATATTGGATTTTGCGGTAGTCCGTCTTAGCCTTGGGCACTAGCACTATTGGTAAACGACATTGGACTTTCGAAGCAGAGGTACAGGGATCGAGGGTGGCGACCGGCGGCGATGGAACATCGGAGCGGCTAAAGATGCCGAGGGGTTGAGGGCTCGGCGGGGCTATCCCCTTTGGTTTTTATGTCAACCTATTCGTGGGCCCAGTCAACGAAACTGAGAGAGGCACCGACAGTCTCCCTTCCCCAAGAGCACCATCGTATTTTTATTTTATTTATTTTATTATTATTATTATTTTTACTAGTCGCCCGTCCCGTTCCTGGGATGAGGCGCCAGCGTTGGTACCAAGGCTGTCTTGCCGGGAGCAGCGGGCATGAGCAGTTGGTACACCCATGAAATGTTGGAACATGGGCCGAGGAGTTCGACATGCATACGAGCCGGTGGGTGACTAACCCACAAGGCGGAAGAAACCTAAGTGGCAGGGACCCTCTGCGGGTGCACAATCTGCAAACCACGATCTGCTGCAGGGCAGCTGCCCGTAGTCCGCAAGCTGCAGGGGGGGGGGTTGAGTGTGAGCATGCCCATTGGGGCTCGGAAGATGGTGAACCGTGCCTGGCACAGTGGGACGGGCGAACCAGGGAGGAGGCCGCAACAACACTAACTATGCTCAACTGTGTGCATGAAATCCCTCTCCACTTCGGTCTTCAAACTGCCACTACCACCAAGATTGGCAGTGGGACCTGTGTTCACCTGGAAACACGCTGTAGGCCTCACAACGGTCCCTTCCCCTCACCCTTCTTTGATTTTTCTTTTATTTATATTTATATGTTTTTATTTTTATTTCTGTCTCATTTTTTTGGTGGAGGACTATCTTGACCCCTGCGTCTGGTACCGAGGGCTGGCCAGGCGGGAACCGGCCTAGCTCAGTGGGTACCCCAATAGAAGTAGACGAGCAGGATGACGCAAATCTGAGTCACCCGGGGGCGGAGCAGCCCATCTCTGTGGGGATATCCTAGTGCCGTGCCCACGGGTGAGTCCTTCGGGACATCCGTTAAAATTGGAACGGTACAGAGAAGATTAGCATGGCCCCTAGGCAAGGATGGTTGTGTGTAGCATCTGATCCTGGCCAGCGATAAGAAAAAAAAACAGGAGAAGACAAAAAAAAAAAAAAACGGGGGGGGGGGGGTGCTTGTTGCCGTGGCTAACAGTCACAGCAATGAGTATCAAAGACTGTGTAGCCCGACAGCAAAGCCTTGTGAAGCTTCAGTCGGGCTGCTGTCTGACTAGCTGCTACTAGGCACTGGGTTCACGTCGAGGAAATGAGGAGGACAGCCACGAACAGTGAGGGAGGAGAGAAGTGAGAAAAAAAAAAAAAAAAAAGAGAACAACGAAGAAGATGAGAACCACACGGCGGATATGGTGAGCATGCTGGAGTGGAAAGCACATATCCCACTCGATTCCCAGCGGAATCAGGTGGGGGAGGGTGCTATTCCGACATTTTTAAGTAGGGCGAATTCAATGGCAGGGTCAGAATGCTCGATGGAAGAGAGGAGTGAAAGTTGGAAGGAGTAAGATGTGCGAGGAGGTGTCGGGGAATGGAGAAGAAAGAAGGTGGGGAACGCATATCTCCCTCGTTTCATAACGAAATTCGGCGAGGGAGGATGCGAAATGGGGGTTTTGAGGCATTACGAATTGAATGGCACGGTTAGATTTGGCGATAGCGTACCCGTTTTGCTGCTGTGTGAGTCAGAGGCTGCGCTGTGCTTGGCAAAAAGCGAATACAGGGAAGGAATTTCAGCGGTGTATTTTCCTACTTTCTGCATCAGATTCATTCTCATTCTGCACTGTGTGACGGATTGGTGCTGCTCATCCCGATTCTGACGCTGCAGATTTCGTGGTTCTGTTGCTTGGGCCCACCATCGTGATTCAGCTATGTGTTCGTGAGCAGGCTCATCGTCACCATGGTGATTCAGCTATGTCTTCGTGAGTAGGCTCACCCTCGTGCTTGCCGTTTTCAGGGGGATCTTGGTTGTAATGGTGTCTCAAACGCTGAGTGGTCTCCCCCTCCTATTAGGTGAACTGGCCAGGTACGCCCGTACTTGGAGAAAGAGAAGGCACAGGGTGTGTGTGTGTGTGTGTGTGTGTGTGTGTGTGTGTGTGTGTGTGAGAGAGAGAGAGAGAGAGAGAGAGAGAGAGGGGGAGGATCAGAGAAGAAAGAGATAGCGCAGGAGAACGCAATGCGCCAAGAGGGGGAACAGTATAAAAAAAAAGGGGGGGGAGGCGAACCTGGGCGCGGCTTCGTGCCAGGTACATTCGATGGAACAAGGAGAAGACAACGTCGGAGCTAGAAGCTGAAAGAGAACAAGGCTACAGCGTGCTCATTTCTTAATGAAATTGGGTGGGTGGAGGTCGTAACCTGGGAGTTTGAGGCAGGGCGAACCCGGTGGTGTTGTCAGATTGAGGAGGGAATTAGTGGATGGTGAGATAGAAGAGAAAAGGTGTGCGCGATAGTGTCGAAAGAAAGGGAGGGACGAAGAAATGAGAGGGGAAAGGAACGATATCTCGCTCAGTCTTTAAGGGATTTTAGGAGGAAAGTTATTAGGTAGGGGTTCTTTAGCATTGCGCATCAAATGGGCGCGTCAGATTCCCAAAAAGAGCTTTGGTTTGGGCGCTATTTGCGTTACGGGCTCCACCCAGGCTAGTTTTCGTTTGGCGGGAAAGCGTCGAGATACCTTCCCAGTATTCTGGCGGAAGATTCACCTCCATCTCGTCGTTTTGATGAAATAAAAATGAAGTTGGGGCTCATCTGGTTCCTTGTGATCCCGTTTCTTTTCGTACGACAGTTGCGCTAATGTTCGTGGCCCTGTGATAGCTATCTTCTTTGTCAACCTAAGATCCGTGGTTGTCTTCGTCATCATCACCAGGATGGTTGGGGGCGTTATCAGCATCGAGGCATCCGCCACTTGGACCAAGGGGAGATCTGCCTGCATGACTTGCATGTACCTCCCCCTGTTCTAGTGGAAAGAGTCGGTTCGGATTTGCTCATCCTATTGATGGAAGCCGTGTGAGGCCAACCGCGGAGGTAGAGGCTTGCCTGTTGAGTTGACGCACGAAGACAACCGGGATGGTAGGGTGGCTATAGCCTGGCTGATGGTTGCTGCAACAGAACTTAGTTAGCCCCTAAACTACTGCTACTTAGGCTCTGATAGCGGTTGCGGCTTTGACAGTGTTGATAGGCCACTGCAGCTGTGCATAGAGCGCTGTTGATGGTTGTGTTCCCGGGGGCTATTACCGTGCGCGCAGGAGGTGGCAGTTGTTTGGATCAGTATCTGCTCAGCAAGTTGCTGATGCTGTTATGAGTGACACTTCGTACTACGGTTGCCTTCTTTGCAGGTTTTTGCCTTCGACGTTGGGCCAGGGCTGTGAACTTCGAGTATGAGTGTTAGTAAGGATGTTGATGCTGGACGCTGCTGATTACTCTGACCAGGTGATGCCATGACCATGCCTTTGTCTGGTGCTGTGCGGCTAGCTCTACGGGGCAAGGGTGAGACCCCCCGCTACTAAGCATGCCCTCTCTCACGGCTGTTTTCATAGGAGTCATAGTCATGACCTTCGTCATAATAATCATCACTACCCCGTTGGTTATTTCGTACTAAGTTTCAAATGAATCTAGTTGGAGTTGACGGCCAGATGCACTCGTACGTAAAGGGGCCGCTGTAGGCAGCAGAGGAAGAGTCGACTGCAAAGCTGCTGGCGCACTTTTTTTGGCTTGCGACGCTGTTTGCTGTTGGATGAGGCTGCAGCAAGGCTAACCGCGGGGTGTCTTCTCATCGAGCGTCCAGTTGATTACAATATCTGGTATGCTCTACTACTAGGCGGGCTGCAGGTTGCCTTGGTTGTGTTTTTTGCTGCAGCAGCTGCTATATCTGTCACAAAGTGCTATGGTTACTGAGTAACTCTACACTACTGAGCGCACTGTGTACCGTTGTGTACCCCTGTGTACTGCTGCTACGGTTGCTGTGTCTTCAGCTTTGCATGCGTTGTGGTGGTTGCTACAAGCTCTCGGCCGGTCATACGGGTACTGTTACAGCTGCTGAGTATTAGTTGCGCCAATACACTGCGTTTCACTATGTACTGCTGTGCCTCGAATAGACTAAGGAGTTGTATCTGGACACGGTCTCTCCAGGCTGAGAGGCCGCGATCTGGTCGGAAAGAGGGATACGAAAGCTTGGAGGGGG